GGACTGGTGATTTCTTCATGGGCTTCGTTCCTCTCCAGGGAAGACATACTTGTCGCATCTATCCGCAAGCCGTTCGTAGTTCTACATATTATTACTAACAGCAGACCACTTTTTATATACAGACATATGCAACAAAAACTTTATGTATAGAATTATATTAGTGAATAATATAGTTTGCAAGCTCTCAATGGCATAAACGATACAGCTTGGGTCATTGAATATTCAATATTAATTTTTATTATGGCAATTATTTATTGAAATATTTTCGGTGGTGGTAACGTTTTGTTCTCAAGTTAAACAAACGACTGTTTTTTTCTTTCATAATTCACAATTTTTCAGTTTTAATTTTAAACGCATTATGTACGTTTATTTCTTATATAAGCACACATATCTTTATTTTTATTAAGGCAAATTATAATTAGCTGAACTGTATAATACGTATTTAGAGTTAATTGTTTTGTGCAAAAAAACCCATTTACATGATATGTAAAAAATAACAATAATGAAGGCTACGTAAATTGATCTCAATTACGTCCATCCGCACAATAACACAATAACTCTATGTGTAAATCTTAAAAAAGAGGCAAATATAAAATAACTTAGTGAAGAGAAACATAACAGCGTAGATGTATAGTCATAAATGTCTGCCAAACTCTATTTCTGTTTATTTCGTATTAACATATTCAATCTACTATTTGTTTTTTGTTACGCAAAACGAAAAGCCTAATTTGAATTATAGTTTAAATTTAAAATACCGATCACGCTTAGTGAAAATTAAAATATTAATTATGTTTCAGAATTTTTTCCACCATCAAAATTACATACAATATGTAACAAAAACCCCGTGGTTCCCGTTAAGGGCATTATCAGAATCAGTATACAAGCGTATAGAAATATAAAATTTTTAAAAAATTATTAAAATTTCGAATTCTATGTGGTTTTATTATCTCTGCATTGGCCGAGGAGTAAGAGGTTTGTCAAAGGCCCCTCATTACCAATACTCTTGTGAGTTAGAGGAAATAAAACCACATACAATTTGCAAATTGTTTTTAAATTAAATTAAAAAAATGATAGTCGCGTTTTCTAAAAAAAAAATATTTGTATACGCTTGAATACTGATTCTGACATCGCAGTTAACGGGAATCACGGGGTTTTTGTTACACATTGTATATTTTTAGATTTATTTTGCCAATTGTTTTTTATTCTGCCAACGGGGGCAATAAAGACTTTTTCTGTCGCCAGGGTGGCACCATTTTGGTATGGGGTGAAATATTTGACAGATTCATAGCGGTGGAGGTTAATTTGATAGCTAAATGTAATTGTTAATGTTTCTTCATATTTCCTAATAATCAAATTAATGAAACAATCTACAGATATTCCTAAAAGTAGGAAAAAGAGAAATAGACAATGTGCAAAAAATGAAAGAGCCACTGACGAATTATTTGGTGTATTTAAATACTCTAGAAACTGATAAACTTTTGATTAAAGCGCACCTTCTCAATTATAATGACATTGTGTAACAAAAAATTTCACCTCAGTTCCATCTAGTGACATCTGGTGAGCGGAAGGTTACTAGCCCTCATTACGTGATAATCTCAGACCATTAAAAAAGATGGACATAGAAGTTTTGGCGGGAACTGCACCGCCGCCGGATTGTTGTCCCTGTATCATCGTGTATAGAATGATTTAAAGTGGATTTTTGATATGGAAAGGTGATGCAATTTTGTGTATTGTGTGTCTGATCATATGAACTATTAGTGTAAACGACGGAACCAGTTCTCCAATGTGTGTGTTATATTGTCCGCTTAGACGCCTGGCTTAAGCTGCCGTCGAAATCTGTCAGAAACTGCAATGTGATGCAAAATATTGTAAGGGCATTTTTGAACAAAGGATCATTTCTTACTAATTGACACTGGCAAAAAGAGAACCGTAGAAGTCTGTTACCAAAGCAAAAAAAGTCAGAACACTACATATCTTAGATGATCTGAGGAAATACCAAATAAAAAAATTTCGTCGAATGCTATTGTTAATTATCATATGAAGAGTAAATCCTATCACTTAAGTGTTCTCTTTCATGTTGAATATTTTGCCACATTTATTTTAGTATTAAAAATTTGTAACTAGGCAGTGACTGACTTCACAGGCCAATCATACGTTTTCCCTAACTTAGATTTAACTACATATTCAATCTTTATTTATAGTATTTTGAATAATGGTTTAACGGAGATTGTTTATATGTGATTATAATATATTGAATACTGGTTACTTTTAAGTTCCTTTACTTAAAAAAATACGGCATTTTTTTGGCTAAAACAACAAGGTTTCATTCCAAGGGCTGTACACCCGGGACCATAATATAGTCGGCATTAGATTTATTTGTGAAGAAAAATTCACGATCAAAATATCAAACATAAGTTTAAAATTTTTTTTATAGCATTCTATGTTTGTTAGTGGTGAATTTTTAAAGGTTTGTATTTTATTTGAAATTATAATTGCTATATGGTTCCTATAAATTATTTTTACGTATTATTTTGAAATTGCACTTAATATCTTATGAGATTTCTTATGATTCTAAGTTCTTATTCTTATGATTATATAACACAAATGTGTTAAAGAGGAAAAAAAATTCGACACTGTATAATAAACGGAAGTAGTGTGGATTTTTACTAAACCTACAAATATTAAATCTCTTTTCATCTAAATTTAATAATAACTTTATCAGTGACCACATTAACACAAGCTTATTTTAGTGTCATTATCAAATTCATTTTTAAATTAAGCCGTAAGCAGTCTTATTGAGAAGCCATAAGAGACATGGTGAATATAAATGGGCGATCCCCGACTTGTGGTGCATGATACCCGACTTGTGACACATGTAAATAGGTGGTGGAAGCTACCTTTATCAATAATTATAGTTGTTATTAATAAAAAAAAAACTAGATAGGATATTTTTTTAATATAAAATTAGCACATAAAGCACGTTAGTGCGTGCGCCTTAAAGTTATAATATGTTGTGAATTAAATTTTCAGTGTTTATCGGTTCTGGTGCACCGATTTCAGATATTATTGTTATTTGATATTAAGACTAGAACTACATTTAGACACACATGCGTCTATGTCCGTGGGCTTAACTTGGTCACTGAACTCTATCAGAAAGCAGCGTTTTAATAATGTTCTCCAGACCGAATTTTGGTCACGGCGGCCAATCTCAAGGGAGACTAGCCATCGGCGCAGGACAGAGTTATAGTGCCCGAGCGTGTGCGCTAGCACAGGTGCACTCTCTATTCCCTAACTCGCACACCCAACGGAAGAACCAACGGGCTTACTTTCTAACTTGCTTTTTTTTTTCCGAGGCACGTATTAAGAAACATACCTTTATGACAATATAGACAGAATAGACATATTATAAGAATTCAAATTTCAACAATTTAGCGAACATGGCACATAGGTTGCTGCACATAGGCACATGTGTGCTTAATGTAATTCTAGTCTTAATCGTTATCATTTTATAAAAAGGCAAAATAACTGTAAACATAGAGCCTTAAAATAATTTTTTTTGTCCTCATAAGTTTCTATTATTGATTTGGATATTTTAGGGTACATTTTGGTTTTTTTTCTGTCATAGAATAATGATGTTATTTGTGGTGGGAAAATACCAGCGAATCCATATCAATTGACTTAATGTATATTTGTGAATGCACACTATTTAGGTAATAATTTATTTTTAATATGCCATACACCCAAAGACGCTTTGATAGCTTAATTATATGGTATAGGTTATGAATAAATACTTATGCGCTCGTCGAGCATTGTAGCGGGAATATTTTATACGGTTATTATTGTGATAATGGATTTGCATTCTGTGCAAACATTATCTGGTTTGGCCTCTAGACTTTAGACAATTATATACTTCATGCACAAAATATTTAAAACAAATTATTTTCTGTAATTTTATTTGACATACCAAAGAAAAGAATGTTGTATTTAATATAATTCTTTTTGAGCAATAAAAGAGGCGTCTATAATAATATAATAAACTTCTACAATTATTTTTCAAAGCGTAACATTATTACTAGGATCAAAAATTATTGTGGTAATAATATACAACACGTAACATAATTAACGCACTTTGAGAAAGTAGTTGGTTCAGAATCGTTTACTGAATCGATTCCTATCATTTTTAATATACCTAGGTAATTTTTTATCCCAAAAATAATTAAAACTACGTAAATTACAGTCAAACTAAATCTATACAGTCAAAACAAAATAAATGGACCGTAACTTAAGGCAATAAGACTTTTAAGAGTGCAGTTTTATTTGTATTGTTACTAATTCTGTCATTCAATAAAAATAAAGAAAAATGGACTTTATTTCAAGCACTTTAAAGTCTTTGCTTTCGTGGATTTGTACTGTGACCACAACATTCTTCCGGAATTAGTATAACTAATTTGATAAATAATCAGTGCATAAAATTGTTTAACTAAAAATTCAGTGTATGTATTATGATTATAACATAATGTACTAATTGGGGTGTCTGAGGGTGTGCGTTTATTACGTTACATATTGTATAAATCGTAGTCTGATGGTTTAATTACACGCTCGGTTAGCATCGACTGCTAAAAACCGTGTGGTGGCCTAATTGCTTTAATTAGTAATTACTAATTAGTATGCTATGCATATTTGCATTAACTATACAATGAGAGGTGGTGCCTTACGATTTCGTGTAAGTCAAATTACTATAAATAAAGGAACAATGCCAAAGATTTAAATAGTTAGATGCGCCCTTACCATAGTATGACCACTCCGAAATGTGTCCATTCTCAAATAAGTAAGCTCACTCATTCGCAATCAGTGCTCATTTTTACGACAGAGAAGGTAGTATACACAATTTCTGTAAGATAATGAGAGATGACGCTACTGCATTAGTGTGCGCGCGTCAGCGTCTTGCAAACGAACACATCCAAAAATAAGTCTACAGTTTTCAAGGTGAAGGCGCATCT